TTATTCAGTTCAATTTATTTTACATTACGTTGTCTCAAAGTGCTTTACACTATTCTTGCCCAAAGCCCCCAGTGAGCAATCCAGTGGTGACAGTGGAAAGGGAAAAAAGAGAAACCTAGAACCTTGGGAAGAAGCAGACTCAAAGGGGGGGAGCCCACCCTCCAGGGGGTGACAGGGGAAGTGCAAAAAAACAAAGTTACCTTTATTTTCTGAGACTTTACATGTGTGATTCTGTGGGGCTTGTGACAGGTGTTGCAAAGACATGAAAGGTTTTGATTCATCCCCTAGGCGGCTTTCCGGAGTCACATAATTTGGGGGAGGGGCATGACGGGGACTCACGTCAGGACGTAGTTGACGCTGACGATGCAGTGCGGCCGCGACGAGCGGCTGTTGTGGACGATGGTGGCGTAGCTCTGCACCCACACCCAGCCGCCATGCTTGGAGAGCAGCCGGTAGTACTTGGTGGTCACCTGACCTTTCACCAGCACTGTAAAGGATAACAGGACAGCTTCCTTTGGACCCCATTTGCTCGATCTCAACTCCCCTCCTACTGCGAAACGCCAGGCTCGCAGCGTTTACCAGGCCATCGCTAATCACTCGTTTGCACGATGTCCTGCAAGAGGCGACACCACATCGGAAACATCTGCGGCCGCCATCCACAAGCTATCCGCGTATCTCCGCGAAGTCGTCTCAGGTCGTGCCAGAAAGCGGTTTGCATGCATCATCAAACGTGACTCTCCCGGGCCTTAATGTGATCATCTCTATGCCGCCGGGCACTTGTGATTCAGATTACAAGGTTTATGGAAAGCTGGCAGAGCAAGGACTTCGAAACAAGGGCAGGAGGGCAGAGGGAAGTCTTGTTCTTTCATTTTCACGGCCATCTCTGCTTTCCAGCTGTGACAGAAAAGTCACCCTTCTGCATCCTAACATAAACACCCGTGTATTGTATGCAGCAATAATCAAACCACAATTGTATGCCACCATTCAAACCACGAATTTGTGAGGCCCCTGAGGTTCGAGGGACCCCCTGTTGGCCACAAACAGTTAGCATTCTGGGGGGCAGGGGGACCCCCAAAGTGACTTTTTAAGTGGGGCCCCTGAAACAAAAAACCCACTCCTGATCGTGTGTATTGATAAATCAGCCTCTGAGGCGTATCTGAAGGCTCAGGCTTGGACAGTCATGGCAGACCAGGTGGCTTGTGGGAGTTTTACTTACGCAAAAGTGCTCTGAAGACAGAATGAAAAATGATTGGTTCAGAGAGAGAACCAGTCAGATTGTAGAGGAGGTGGGTCCAAGACATCTGATTGGTTGGTCCCACCTCCTCTAGTTGCTTGGACCCAGTCCTTTTTTTGTTCTGCTCTCAGTACATTTTTGTGTAAGTAAAACTCCCATGAGCGACCAGGTGGGCACCACACCCTGGGGGAACACTCACGCAGGTGATGTGCATATCGCAGGTGGAACACGTCACAGCCGTGCACGTGGTGGTACAAGGTCTTCTCTATCAGGTCCTGCGGCTCGTGGCCTGTCAGCTCTGCCACCCTGAAGCACACAGAAGCAGTGGGACTTAGGTAAACTGAATATAAATACCCAGCCATTTTCCAACCACTTTTCCTGGGGGGGCGCATGGGCTGGAGCCTATCCCAGGCAGCACGGGGCTGGGGTTCACTCTGTATGGGAGGCCAGTCCATACACAATATCGGCAATTAAAAAATGCCAGCTATCCAAAATGCATGTCTTTGGATTGCACCATGCAATGGAGAGAGCATGCAAACCCCCTACCTTGGAGATGCAAGGCTAACATGCCACACTAAATAAATATCATGGCATACAGTAATGTCTGACCAGCTCTGCATGGTTACATATTCATAATACGCCTGGATATAGCAGGCATAGTGAGCTCAGCGCTGATTCAGCGGCCCTCCGCTGGAAGCTGTGGTATCCTACCGTGAGTCCAGGAAGATGAGCTTGAGATCCAAGCTGGCACGGAACATGAACATGTTGCTGTGCAGCTTGATCTCTGTGATGCCGCTGGGCGGTAACGAGTGGCCCACTGCTACCAGCCCCACGATCTGGTAGCAGGAGTCATAGAGCGCCATGTCCACCACGAACTGCCGTATCTTCAGGTAGCCGCTGCAGTGGATCACCTGGTCATTGGACGAATCAGACGCTTCGGTCACAATTCCCATCTAATAAAATATACCCAGGCAAGGCTTCCCATCCACAGAACCACCTACAACCAGTCATCAGAGTCGCTCTCAACCTTGAAGACAAGCCTCAAGACCAGTGCCTGTCAACCCATTAAGTGACATTGGCGGCTGCCTAGGGCACCATCTTCTGACGGGGCACCAACTTAGCAAACCAGTTTCACTTTGTCTTGTACGGGGAACTCTGACCGTGAAGCTTTCTAAGTGCATCACATGGCCTTCAACCAGTACTGTTTAAAACCATAGCTCATCCAACTACTGACTTGCTCTGTCTTTAACTGTTCTCTCTTTTTTATGGCCTCTTGCCAACATGGATGTATTTTTGTACTTGTCTAGTTGGGACCCTAGTCTTCATGGTATCTTTGATCTGAATAGCTCTTTTATTTAGTTCTTGCAATGTTCTGTAATGATCAATATAGCTCTGACTCTGATGCTAACTATGCTAATTAGCTTAGTCTAATTGGACTTGTGCATAGTTGGCTCTTTGATCAATCTATGCCTGTAATTTACTGTTAGCATTGCTTCTACAGTACATCACTTTAAACAGAAGTGTCTACTAAATACATACACTAACGTTATGGAAAGGATTCTGCTGCCAAAGGCCACCTGATTGAAACCCTGTCACTCCAAGCAAAGCAGCTTCACCCATGCTTCTAGGTAATGACTCCCGAATGAATGGTCACTTCCACTGCTGTGCCATTTAGCCCTTTGATGACTTATTATTCGCTCATGGGCAGGACACCCTGCTCCTATGCCGCATGTCACTAATAACACTGCCGTATCAAGCGGCCCTCCTGGCCGCCCAAACAGGAAGCCGTCATGTCCTGTTTATCATTGCCACTTCCTGTTTACTCACGCTTGTGGCCTGGCCGTCCAAGTAAGTCTCTTGAGCTTGGCGATGATTTATTCTCTACTTAGCATAAACGGGCCACTCACTGCCAATGTAAACTTCAGATAAATTCCCCCCACCCCACAGGCTGATTAATGGAGACGGCTGATTGGGAGAATTAATTTGAAGTCATGAAACACAGCTGTTCTGCAAGAAAAAGGATAGGGCCAGCCCATGATTGACATACCTCGGCAGAGAGGGGGAATTAATTGTATAATAGCTGTAGGGAAAGCTGTTTGGCTTCAGAACTAGCTATGTGGGGAAGCTTCTTTCTCTCATAGTGGGACAGAATGGAGCTGCTTCATGATAAAGTTTATGAAGCCAGTGCTGGTCCTGCCTGTTTCCCTGACGATGTGGCGATAGCTCAGTTCCTCGCTAGCTGAACATAAGCCAGAACCAAGCTTTGTTAGGAAATCCCATGGGGAAAGTAGGGTTTGTACATCATGAATTTGCTTAAGTAAATCGGGGGTTTGTGACCCCCCCCCCCCCCACCTTGTAACCTCCACAGGTAAGTCCCGCGTTCCTCTTGGCCAACACACACTTCATCCGCAGGAAGAAGGAGCGCTCCAGCTCGTATTCTGCAGGGGGAGGACATCGTCATCAGGAATACACACACTAGAGCAGGTTTACTTACAGGTGGAGATCCTGTTCATCACCTCCCAAGCACATTTTCATGGGGTCCCTTGCTAGCCATGACATCCACACTGAATAATAAATTAGCGGGCCCCTTATGTAGGAGATGCTGAAGCAGCATGTTCTGATAACCAAGTAGCTAGCTATGATCTTCTGACTTGACTAGCTAGCTATTTATTTAGTTTATGAAATGTCTGGGGGGGGGTTGTGCCCCTGCTTAGGGTGCTTACTGGATAACCTTAAGGGCTTATTAAACTCGGGATCTGAGAGTTTCCTGGTACCAAGGAAGCTCCTCAGTCACGGTCCAACTCAATATTGAAGCACCTTTGGTACTGTGACCAGTGTTTCTATGTTATTAATGAACTGGTACTTCATATGTGTGTGCAGATACTGTCCAGCTATGGATTACAGCGATATTCAGGGTGCTGAGCTCATTTATTAGCTCTGTGTCTAGCCTAGAATGGATTTCAGGTAACCGGTTATAAACAGATGTTTATAGATGTAAGACTGAAGAGCAATACTATTTTCTATCTGCTTTTCATCTGTCCACCCATCCTCCAATTGCTTATCCTGGTCAGGGTTACATGGGGGCCTTTAGCCTATCCCGGGTGGCATAGTGTACAGCCTGGATTGGATGTCAGTCCATTGCAGGGCAAACTGGGGCAGGTTAGAGATAACGGTGCCATTCACTGGGCCACGGTGCCACCCAGTAACAGGTTTTGTTGAGCTTACATTCAGCAGCCATTTAACAGCTAATGGCCATTTTAGGATAATTAATCTGGAACCGCCAGATCCCCATCCATACCCACAATACTAACATGCCAACCTGGGAGGCGTCTCCCTGGCGACTAGCATGGAATGACATACCTTGCAAGACGTGCGGGTGGAGGGGCTGGTGGGCACTCAGAACCGCCGTCATCTCGTCATGGTCCGACGGGTGGATGTACTCAAAGATGCTGTTTCCCGTCAGCTCCACCTGATGTATGGAGAACAATGGCCTTCAAAGAGAGTTACAAGGTGACCAAGACCTTGCAATTCCCACAACGGTACATAGGAGGCGCAATACCATATAAGATATATGTGAATAAATGTTGTACTAGTGACACCAGTTTAGCACCAAAATAATGAGCAGAAATATGGCGTGAGAGCAGAATGGATCAGCATAGATTTAGTGAGCATTAGTCAGCATAAATCTAGACAGATTTGCTTCAAGAATGAGCAGGATGGTAGGGGGGAGCCTACTATAAAAAGCTCTGGGGTGGGGGCGGCAAATCTCCTGCCCCATTCAACCCCACCACCTAAATTAACAATGAAGTGAAAGAGGGTAGCGCAGATGGGAAGGGGGGGTTGGGGGGGGGGGCACAGAGGTTAATTTATGAAGAAAAGAAAAAAATTAGTCTAAACACAAAAAAAACTCCCCTTCACACTTTGATCCATTTGCCCCCCACCCCCACCAAAAATTAGCACCGTTGAATCAGAACACTGAGCAGGTCGCTGCTCGACATTCCAAGTACAAATCAGCTTCTGCGCGGCACTGGTCCAGCACATTAATTGGGGATTGGTGGATAGAGTCATGGAGGTGGGCTTCACACCACGGTGGGGGGGACACACCGCAGGGTCCAGCTGGGGCTGTCTGGCCCGTCAGCAGGGCTGATCTTGGTGGTGTCACCTGCTGACAATTTCTGTTCAAGCGTCATGTCTTTTATTCCTTTGGACTCCCCTTCCTTGTGCCCTAGGCTGTCTTGAGGAGCTTTCCCACCAAATTTCCAGAACTTAGTACACGGTTCTCAGTTCCTGGGCCATCTCAACCAGGAACTTTAATAGTTACTTTCTTGTTTCACTTTCCCAGCGCACAACAGGAACCGGGACCTTTGTGCTAAATAAGCAGGGCAGAAGCGAATAGGTGATAGGTAACTTCAAAGCTAATTTGAGCCAGAGTGAGAGTGTGTGTGTGTGTGTGTGTGTGTGTGTGTGTGTGTGTGTGTGGTGGTGGTGGGGTTAGGCCGCATTTGAATGGGGGCTTGCACAGGTGCTGTCTTCACACGTGTGGCAGTGCTGCTGATTTGCATACGGCTTCGCATAAAGGCGCTGCCTGTCTGTGCTGTCATTTCCATGAGCTCTTCCTTTTATCCCACTATTTTTGTAGCTATCCAGGCAGTACTGGTCGATCTCCCCTGGGCAACCTTTACCCCTGGCACCCCCCCCCCCCAATCCGAGACAAACTGAAACTGGCTTGTTAAGTCAGTGCCTCCATAGAAGATGGCGCCCTAGGCAGTTGGGTGTTCCAGCACTGCATTCCAGTGAGAAGTCTGAAGCTCACCGCTGTTTTTCCTGATCCCCCCACCCTCCCCCCAGACCGACACTCCTACTCATTACTGACTCTGAACATGTCAATCCAGTGGTTTTCTCTTCTCCCCAACAGACAGACTATTGATGGCACTGACTCACTGTGAACCACTGCATTATGCTGAAAATAATAACTTAATGATCTTATTCTCACTGTTCACCCTGTAACTGACCAGCCTTACATACTTAAGGTAATGACTTTCTTTAGTGAAGACAAGAAATAATGCAATTAGGTCTTTGAGTAAAAAGTAGGTCCATTTTACTCTTGGGATTTTACACTGGAGGCACTGTTGAAAGACAAGGTCAGGGACGTGTATGAGAGTGGGGGAACTTTCAGTGATTGGATAATTACAAACTGACCTGGTACAGAAGGCTGCATACACACATTAACCGGACCTAGTGCTGTAGTGGGGGGGTGGGGGGAGGATTGCCAAAATGAGTATCCAGGGCTTTCCAAGCCGTAACTATCACTCTGGTGTTGTCTGGGTTCCATGGCATGAAATCCGCCACTGCTGATGGTAAATATCATTGCGATGAATAAAGGAGCCTCGATCTTGTCCTCAATGGCACGGGCAGAATGGGGGCGAGCGATTAGCAGAAAAGCCAAGCTTAAGTGCTACAGAAGAGTAATGGCATCCCCCCCCCCGACACACACGCACACATTCTGGTCTGGAGAACAGATGACGAAACCGGCCTCCCACCATCCAAAAAAAAAAGCTTGTATGTGCCTCTTTCATAACCAGCAGCAACACAGCAATGATCGTCACTCTCTCACACACACCTGCCAAGCTGGACAGAAACAACGGCCCGTGAATCCGGCAGCTTAGTCGAATCCTCTGTTTATGCAGAGCCAGGGCAGTGACTGAAGGCCAGGCCCCACACAAAGTGATAATACTCCAACCAGAAGAATGCACAGTACCCTTTACTGGACAAAGCAATAATAGTCCCATTTTATAAACACACTGTGCACTTTACTGAACAGCAATAATATTTCACCCGCATAAACACACAGCACACCATACTGGAGCGATAATACTCCAGCCTCATAAGTGCACATCACACTTTACTGGACAGAGTAACTATACTGTAACCTCTTAAATGCACAGTACACCTCTGGACACAGTAACTATACTCCAACCTCTTAAATGCACAGTACACTTTACTGGACGGGGTGATAATACTCCAACCACATAAATGCACATTATACTTTATCGGAAAGAGTGGTTCTACTCATTCCACTTTATCATATTTTCTATTTCAACAATGTACTTTATATTTATTTCAAATATTATATCATATATTTCATTGTACTAGACATATTTCCTGTTTCAGCCATGGCTTCTGTTTATTTCATATATGTTGCATAAATTACAGACACTGGGGCTATAATTTATTTTATTGAGGGAAATTTCGGTGTGGAATGACTAGGATCACATGGTCCTAAGCAGATGCTAAGCGCTAATTTGGCTGTAGAAACCAGACACACTTGGGAGGGCGGAGGACTGTGTGCAATTTTCCATATTTCCTGAATCTTGAGTTTCTACCTCATGTGTTGGTCAAACAATTATGAATTAGCATTACTGGAAGTTGTTTTTACCCGAGATTTTACCTCCTGGTTTAAACTGCCTGATGAACTCTTTTACCTGATTATTATTATTATTATTATTATTATTTTATTATTGTTATTTTAACCTAGTCTTTGCAGGGGCGTAGATTTGGGTAGAGACGTGTCCACAACAATATTGTGGGAGTGGCATGTGTGTTTAGGAGGGTTTGGTTTAGTCCCCATCAATGTTAAAACCAAACCTAAACCCATGAGTCTTTGTATGTTTGGAGGAGGACAGAATTTGGTTGATAAATGACAAGAAGGATAAATATTATTGAGATGCAGCTGAAGATTTTAGCTGTTTTCATGAATGCCACAGAACAAGTTCCATTTGTACCGGTGACATTTTGGTACACCCACCTGTGACAAGCCCAGATGGACGGAAGCCGTTTCCGAGATGTACATGATCTTGCCGTCTGAGGCCACCACAAACACGAAGCCGTCCAGGGTCTACGGGAGTCAAAAATGCACCAATATTTACCCAACACACAGACTGAGCACACACACTGCACACAAATTGAGCACAGACTGCACGCAGACTGCGGCACACTGCACATATCTTACACACACACTGAGCACACACTGCACACACACTGCACACACACTGAGCACACACTGCACATACACTGCACACACACAGAGCACACACTGCACATACACTGCACACACACTGCATAGACACTGTATATGACAAAGGCACTAACTTCTCCTGAACATGCAAATGCATATAATATCTGCGCTCTGCTGGAATTAAATTGCACAGGCGCACTTTAATTATCCATCTGCCGCTGATAATTTGGCTGATTTTAATTTAACCCATTGATTCCTGGCCTTTCTCTAGACTTCTTAGAAACATGTTTTTTTTCCCCTCCCAGTACGGTTATAATTGTTCTGATGTAAATCTGATACAGATTGATCTGGTTTGACCCAGAGATTTCCAGAGAGACGACGCACTCACCTGAAGGAGATGGGACCCCAGCTCTCTCGCCATGTTGTCCAGGGGGCTGACGCGGATGGGATGCCCCCAGGCCTCTCCGAGACCTGCGAGTAAAGCGAAAGGGGAGGGCGATGAGAAATGCCAGCCTCATTATACTCCATAACCCTTATGGAGCAGCTGTGCAGATTCAATAAATCTGTCCAGGGCAATTCAGTCATTTTCAACCAGCCAGTGCAAAGTAAATCCAGCCATCGCTTTTTTTTTTTTTTTTTTGCAACTTCTTTTGAGTGTTAAATAATTTTGGCCCCCACGGTTTTATTTTAGGACAGATCGTGGGACGTCACATGTAAAATATGCACCCCCTCCACCCCCTCCAGGGCCCTTGCCATGTCTGCAGAGTGAAATCGAGGACATTTGGACATAATTATCACATCCACAATAAATTTGCATAGCACGTTTGAAATGTTCTTTTGTTCTGGCTTAAAGTAGAAAAAAACAACAAAAACAACAAAAACTGACCTAAACTCTAGGTTCCACTAGTATGAACAGCTTTGTGGTAAATGCCTTGATGAGATTTCACAGCTTGCAGCAGATCACCAGCTTGCAGGCAGAGCCAATTCAGGGCAAAGCCCCCAGCTCCGTCTCAACAGGCTGCGCGGAGCCAGGTTCGGATGCAGGAGGGAACTTAATCACATCCGCTCTGTTTTGAAAAAGGCCGCGAATCCCTGGCTCCTGCTCTACTAGGGCGCTGGAGCCGAAACGTGTGTGTATGTCAGTGCTCAAGTATATATTTCGCTGTGGGGACCAAATGTCTCCACAATATAAAAAAAATATTAAAAAACTGTTACTTTGTCCTTGTGGGGCCACCCTCTTTCCAGCCCCCCAAGGGAAACGTCAAAGTTATAAAATCTGTGGCTGCAATAAAAAAAAAAACTAAAATACCCAAAAGTCTTGTATTTTGTTTGGTTCCCATAGTTGGGATTAGAGTTTTGCCCATAGAAATGAACAGAGTACCCACAATGATATAAATACTTAATCTGGGTGTGTGTGTGTGTGAGAGAGAGAATTATGTTTATATTACATTGAAGGACCAAATTTCCCCCACAATGTAATAAAAACCTGTTATTTTGACATTGTGGGAACCATTCTTCAGGTCCCCAAAAAGATTCATGATTGCAATCAAAAAACTAAAAATGCCAAAAGTCTCGTATTTTGTTTGGTTACTTATGGCTAAGTTAAGGGCTAGGAAGGGGTTAAGGTCGTCATGTTGGGATTAGAGTTTTCCCCATAGAAATGAATGGAGAGTCCCCACAAAGATATAATTACAAACCTCTTTGTGTGTATGTATGTGTGTGTGTGTGTGTGTGTGTGTGTGTGTGTGTGTGTGTGTGCGCGTAGGTTCCAGAATATTATCCATCATACGTAAATAAGCTGGACCACACAGCCAATGACATCATCTTATGAGAGAGTATTTCAGATGGATGATTATGTCATGTCTTTCGCGCTTGTTAAAGGTGTCCGACCCCAGAGCCTGGCAACCATTAAAAAAAATTATTATTATTATTCTACTGAATAATATAGGATTGAAACTGGGTGGAGAATACTCTCTGTACAATTAAGAAAAACTTAAATGGCACTTGGGATATTACACAAGCTGCACAGACTCTGTCTCCAAGCTCCGTCATACTTTCTGGAGCTAAGAAGAACATTGAAATGGGAGATGGAGATGCTCTTTTCGTTACTGCTTTTAATGTTCTGGGGAGAAGCAAGATTAGCAGAACACATAAGTCAGAATGGGCTTTTTGTGCAGTGCTCAGAGAAAATGTTTTAATCTGTCTGATTGCAGACAAAGGACAATCCTACAAACCAATCTAGTGGAACCAAAGGGGACTTCATTGAATACTGATACTCTCCCATGATTCAGACTAATCTCTCACCTCTTAACAATAATCCATCTCTGTTGCCATTAACGACAAGAAAGAAGGTATATACAGTGCCTTTATTTTCCAGCTCAAAGGACTGGTTAACCACTTTTGCCTATCGCAAAGTCTATTTTTAACACAATGCGTGCCGAAAGGGGCCGGTCAAAGCCGGTGTTTTGGCAGCCGGGGTGCTGGCGGATTGCCCCGTACCGGCACTGTTAAATGAGTAGCAGACCACAGAGAGGTGGCCCCATCCTCACTGCACATTAAGACCACACTCCGTGACAAAGGGCTGGAATTAAATCAAGCCACCCCCCCCAGTCACTCAGCACTGAGGCGCTGATAGAGGACTTTAACACATGGGCCACTTCTGGCCGAAGCCCCTGTCAGAGAGTAACGGGAGGGAGTAAATCTATACTCCTGGATGGGGGGGTGGGGGGTGAGCATGTTGTGTCAGAACGACAACTGATCTGTCACTCCGACCGCCACATAAAAATCACTAGTGCATTTCGTTGATGTTAATTAGCAGTTACGCAAAATAATATAAAAGTGTTACTTATAGTGCCCTGCACAAAATGAAAAAAAGAATGAAAAAGATTTCAATGGACAGTTTGAGGCCTACATTTCCCAGTAACTACTCTAAAAAATAACTCTGTTAATGCCCTGTCTGTATGTATCATTTCATTTTAAAAATTTATATACATTAATATAATGTTAATTAATTAACATTAATTTATAGTTAAAGCAGGGATTCTTAGGCATAAAATTAAAATTCAAATAAATCTGAACAGTCTGTGAACAAGAAAATAAGTAATTTTATACTAAATTGGTGGTTTGTAAAGTCTGTAATTGTTAACATTTTCCGTATGCCAGTGTTTAAAATGTTAAATGTTAAATTGCTACTGCGTAGTTTGAAGGGGCCATTTTCCCATTTGTGTGTCCAACCGGCCTGGGATCAGCTCTCCCGTTCGGGCCCTGAGCTCAGTCAGACTTTCCGCATTACTCGTAAACGTATGTAACTCATTTAACTAGATTAGTCGGTAAGAATACAGTAATCGGGTTACTTAGTGAGCTTTTCAGCTACTATACAGGCACAACATTTTAAAAATGAGCAGGCAATATACTACGATGAAAATAGAGAAAAAAAAATTGGTCGAAAATTTTTCAGCATGTCTAACGGGTCTCGAATCCATTTTCATGTTATTACAATAACAAGCACGCTTTTTGTACGTTGTAAGTAAGTATTTTAAATAAACCGCACTTTTCTGCAGGCTACTTCGTGGCGGACATCTGTCGCGAATTGAGGACAAAATTATTCACAATAATGCCGAAATCCAATAAGTTGCTAATAATATCCTTCTATAAGAAAGGAAAGGAGTTACTACGCTCCTATAAAATATTCGCCGGGAAATAAAATCCGGCGTAGTAACGGCAACGCTGCCGCCAAATGTCAGTATCAGTATCATCTAATATATCTAAAAAATAAAGATAGAAATTTAGCCCTACATATAACCATATGTGCAATAATAATAATAATAACAATAATAATAATAATAATAATAATAATAATAATAATAATAAACACCAGCATGTGGAATATAAATATAGAGTTGCTAAAACAAACAATATAACATTAAGCTAAATATTTAGAAATATATTCAGATTATTATAAGCCTTTCAAATCCAGTGATAATAGATGTTTCATATAGCTCAATTCACTTTCCACAAAATGACGCATTTTTTATCATCTAATCAGTAAAAATTATGTTCCCAAGTACTGCCTTAATATGAAGTTAATAAAGAAAACTACTGACTATATCTGAATTGTTTTTGCATATTTGTATTAAAGTTGTACAATAGTGTCCGTACGCAGCCCTAATTCGCTACCCTGATCTTCAACTGTGTTAAGGTACATTATACCTGCTACACTGTAACAGTAAAAATGTTATTGTCGCAAAACGGACACACTTTGCAAGTTTATCTTAGAAAACCTCATTTTAGCGGGCACAGGCTAAAAACAAGTTGTTAACACAAATGCCATATTTTAATTGAATGCATCGTCAATCTGCTTTTTTAAGGGCAATATTTCGTTTCACCAGCGTTCACCCAATTATTTGTGCACTTTTAATTTTAATTTAACATGTCTTGTTTTCTGAATACCGGCATCAAACAAAACGTTGCTGTTTCACGAGCTTAATTCACGGCCTCACGCGCACCTGTTGAAAATATCTTATACCCCTTCAATTTATAATAAAAAAAAAAATCACCTGTTCCAAAAAATAGCACAGAATATCATTGTTGCAGATTAGTTAGCCAATGTATATTGACATAGGCCTACAATATTAAAATGTACATTAATAATAACAAATCATAATAAAATACAAAGCTATATATACCCCAATGAAATATATACTAAATGTGTTTAAAATGTCTGGATAATTACCAATGAAAAACTATTATTTGGTAATATTTTAATGTTTAGCAGACGTGAGTTATTTTGATCATCTAGCGTAAATTATTTATTTGCCTTGTATATTAATACATTTTAACCGATATATGTGTTTTCTAAATGGAAATTTAAATTCAGTGGGTCTTCAGCGAAAAAAAAAAATCATCGAGATAACTGACTAGATGGAGTTTCCTATTAGGTTAAAATTCACAGCAAATTATTCACGCCACCCCATTTAGATTTGGTCATTTGGTTTTAATTCCGATAAGCATTCTAAAGTGCTACAAAAATACACGCTAAATTAGGTTTGTTTGCCTCCTTAATAAAAAGTCTAAATTTTAAACCAGCTCATAAAACTCTGTGTATTCTAATTCACGATGGTTGTCTAAAAAATCATAATGTTGTTCTAATGTACGCTGTTGGTGACATGAGTCCCCTTAAAATTATGCCATTTCAATTAAGTGTTTCTGACCTAAATACTATACCTAGCCTAATAACGCGGCCCTTAACTTCAACAATCCACTACACTGCTAACATTTGCGCGTGATAAGACACTGACCGTTAACCAGCTCGTTACTCAGCCGTCTGTAACGTCATTTGCTTTCCGTTTTTGATTAATAATTTGACTATTTCGAAAAGAAAAAAAAAGAAAAAGGGAAGCCCTGGCTTTAAAGTGCGGTTCCTCGTGCTGTACCCGCTATCCGACATCAAAGGAAAGATTGGGGGGGGAAGTACCCATGTGTAAGTTTTAAGTGACATGATGAGTGATGACAGACTCATTTTACGCAGAGGAAGAGGGATGTTTTCTTCCAACAGCCCGCTGAAGTGTTCGTTTTACTAAGGATAATTGGATAATTTATCATCGTCTTTAAACTGAAGCGGAAATCGGATGCAAACAAAACTGCATTTCCCGCATTATGTACATTTTCCTTATTTACATTATCAATTTTTATTAATCCACTATGAAACACACAAACACGTGCACTGTATATCAGTTTTAGAAGGCTAGTGCCGTTTTGAAATACTGTCATGTTAACATTAAATCATGATGACATTAACGCCGCACATGCGACTGTACGTTTTGATGTAACCGAAGTCCGTGAAAACACGCTCGAGTAAATGTATAATAATTAAGCGCCCCCCTCCCGGGGGACTCTACTAACAGATAGCAAGGCTACTTTAAAAGTTAATCAGTTAGGCATTAAGAAAATGTGTTGTGAGAGACCACCTGAGCGAATTGAATTTACTATATTCTGACATCTAACAGGCTATATTAATTACAAAACAGTCCATACGGATAAGGACACGGTGTTCATGGAGAAACTCACCATCGGGGAAGACGGCCCTCATCTTCAAGTAACTGGTGGTCAGTCGGATGATGGAGGCTTTATCCAGCTGCGAAGTGATGGCCGACGGCAGTGGCAATAATTTCGCCAGTTCGTAAAATTCTCCATTTTCTTTTTCCCGTCTTGTCTTCGCTGCATTCTTGGACTTCTCCTTCATTTCTGACTTATGAAAAATAATTCCGCTTGCATAACAATATGCCTTCTCCAGCTCCGAAACTGCTGAGTTCGGCCACTTTTCCTTTATCTTTGAATCAGAAAATGGTTATATTCGTCAAAAGAAGACATGTTTATTAAGTAGTATAGCCTATATGTCTGTTATCATATTTAAAAAACACTATAGGCCTATATACACAATCCTTTGGCTGTCTGATCTTCACGTCTTTGCCGGTGAAAAAAATGCGTGAGGGTATGTAAGATATGTTTTAAACCCATTGTATTTTATTGTAAACAAGCAGTATGCAGTTGTCAGTTTATATATACAGGTTAAAGTTAATTCTATTCAAATTACGAATAATTTTCATGCCGCAAAGACACCAACTGTGTACCATATCTAAATATAAGCATAACAACAACTTCCTACAATTAGGTCTCAATTAACTATTAAAAAAACATATTTCACAGTGGGTGAAGTTTCCACCAATAGCATGACAATAGAAAATGTTAACAACTATTTTGGTCATTGGCCAATGATATATACGGCATGTAAATCCTCCCTAGTTATGCGGGCTGTACTGATTCTGGCCTAGTTCAAATAAACTCTTAAACTTCTTAGTTTACCTTGACGTCTTGTACGTAGGAATATTCCAATCAAACTTCCAAAGAGGTGTCGAATGTTAGATTTCTTTTAATTCCAACGAACACGCGAAGTGTAAGCTAGTTACGACCCCGGGACTGCAGTTCACTAACCTTTCAAAAGCTGGGAACGAAATTCTTCGCTCTTACTTCTTCAAATGAATCCCATGCAAATATTGTCCTTTTGATGTTCGCTGAGAGGCCTTTCGCCAAGAAACTTTCCCGTGTACCGGGCGCCGTTTAAACCACTCTTGGGGACGCCCATAATTAATCAAATGTTGACGATCTGAGGTAGTGGGTAAATCAGAATTACCTGCATGTATTCATAATTATTTCAAGATTCCTCCAATGTTGTTGATGCCTTTAGTCGAGTACGAAAAGAAAAAATCCATGATGAAAATGCACAAATGGTGATAAACGTGAACGCTCTTCATTCCCACATGCCTTTATAAACACATAAAGAAATCCATTGCTATGATCTCCAGGTTTCAACTGCGGGATTCACATTGTCGCACAGCCCACATCCCGGTTATTATAGAAGACACGGAGTTCCTTCACTGTCAGTAATTGCACTTTCCCTGTCCCCGGGCTGATCTTCTAGTTTGCATTGTTCGGGGGTCGATAATCCTAAAAGATGGAATGATATTCTACGCAGCACCCGCTAATTCCTTTCGCAGAAGCGGAGGCGCACTGAGAAGGATGGAAGGATGGAGGGAAGGAGGGAGGCGCGAACGACCGAGCAAGCTGGGGGGCGCGCTTCCAAACCGTTACGTCACTGTCTACGCCGTCTTGGGTGAAACGAGGTACAGTGTAATAAAACGGGCAAGCAGTGACATTTATCAGCTGAACGCTTTACTAGACAATAAATAGCCTGTTGTTTGGCTTGATCCTTATGCTATTGGTCGAGTTTTAACCACAGTTTTTACATCGACGAAGATGATCGTGTTGCTGCATTCATTCAAGCCAACGCATAGTGCGCTTAAAAAACACACAGAAACGATGCAAATTCATGAATTCACAGGGAAATTTGAAACAGAATCAAATCATTGTTAAACATCGGGCGCGAATATTGTCCCTCAGAATATACATATTGTCTAATGCATATGCCGACACATTTTGGAGTCGTCGCAGTTTGTTCGAAAATGCCACTGATTTTATTTTGAATGAGCTGAATTACATGCTTGATGAACGCGAGAAATCAGTCAGCCAATTTGAATAGAGTGCGCTGTGGTCGCAAACGCTGTGCGCCTCGCTGCAGACGACTCACTTGTATTTTAAATATTCAAATCCGCACGCGATCCTCAATATGCTCATTTCCATTTCCCATAAAGGTCAGCGACATCTTTGAAGAATTCGGAAAAAGTATTTTATAATTTTCACATTTGCATCCTTCAAATATTTTTAACTTCTTTTAAAAAATAATTTTCATGTTTATTGAAAGACATTGCGCGTTGTAGGCTAATTGTAACGTGTATCTTTAAGGCATTCATATAAATGTAGGTTTGTTTGTAGTTTTGAGCTGCATGTATGAAAATCTGTCGAATATATGTGCTCTGTTACTGTAGAAATTTAGACAAATGGGCAGAAGAATGCAAAGCAAAAACAACACAATAGTCAACAATGACATATTAGACCTAATTATATTCAACAACAGTTGGAGTAACAATTAATCACAATCCAGTTAAACTGCAACAGTACAACACCAATTGTAATTATTGTTAAAGAAAACGGGAGTGCGCATGCTTATGGAACAATAAAAAATGATAATAAAATTATTTTAATTACTGCTCAAATTCAGCACACATTTCATTGTTAAATATATTTTTGACGATTTTTGGTTTTAATAACGCACGCATTATGTATTATACTACAAATGAAAATATTTGGCATTGCGTTTTTAATCCTGATTTATGTACATTCAAAATATGAAAGGTGCAAATGTATTTGTCATAACCTGTAGGCAACCGAAAAATCTCATTGCAGGACATTGACGGGAGGAAATATTTTAATGATATTTGGGTATAAATTATTTATTCTTTGGCGTCTGCAAAACGGTTTAGGTTACATTCTTTGAAAATTCCTTTGAGTATAATATAGTTGAAGATAGTTGTCGCATATTTTACATTGTGGATTGAGTTTCGGGTATACACAGGAAGATAATATTGCTTCAATATTCCTCCTTCAGTTTAAGAGAAATATCGATGTCGTAAACGAGATGCAAATATATCGCTTCAAATTACATTTCTTTGTTTTGCGCTTTGGCTTGAAACAACACTGGCAGGTATACAAATTATATATAGTCAAAGCTGTTGTTTTCTCCCATGTATAATAGCCTACCTATAATAATGAACGATGGATTTGTCTGCAGAGACGAACGTCGCCTTACATCAGCGGTCTCACGTAATATTTTTCCCATGTGTAAAAAACCCCGTTAAGTTCGAAAATATCTGAAAATGTATTGCTTTGATTTTTTGTACTAATTTACGTTTTAAATCACATTTTGTTAATCCTTCGATGGAGCAGTCTGAACGTAAAATGCATAATAAGCCCAAAAACGTCTCACTTTTTATACCTTGATCAACAAGCATGTTTTTCTATAGGCTAGCATACGTGTATCAATGTAGCTAATCACGCCGAATATATCAAAAAGCATGTTCACATTATTTAAGTCTCCTGTTTCGAGTGGCATTCTGCTTGTGTTTTATGACAGTTAAAAATTTACATTATAATAAATATTTTGCTGTTTTTAGTATAATACCCAAATATATATTCCAAAGAACAGTACATCTAAAATAACAAAAAAGAAAAACAAAAAAAAACATACGCATCCTTGACACCGACAAGATAAGATACATGAATTTCTGCCAATAAGTAGTGTCAGTATTACGGTTTGATCCTGTGTAGTTCACAGGCCTGACTAATTGATGTGCTGAACCGGCAGAGCCCTCAAGGGCGCAGTCCTTTCGCCAGGATGTCCGTTGCGATACCTGACCCCCCTGTCATCGGGCGTCATCTCTCCACACCGCATTGCACGTTCACGGTCAACGGAGCGACGGATTATATAGTGTCGGCGAGCGCAGAGCGCGCTGTTCCCCTGAATGCACCAGGCGGTGTATTAGCATGCATATTCACACTGAATTAGCGGGGCGTCAGGAGAGATCCGGGGATCACCGTGTTAAGTGGAACAAGGGATCAGCAAGGATTTCCGATCAGAATCACTGTTACTGCACGGAACAAATCCATGATGGTGTGCAGTCCTGTCTCGAAACCGGCACACCGATGCTGCGAATATCAGAAGGAAAGGCCTGGACACTGGATATCCATTTACATGTTTGTTATAATGTGGTAAGGTAAGTATATAAATAACCGTCCGTGGTTAAGAAGGGGGGATAACAGATTGTTACAATGTGTACGACTTACAACCCATTGGTAGTGTCTTATTCTTACTTGGAAGGCTTTAAATCTCCAAGTAGTCTGGAGAAATCTTTAACTTTACACACATGGCTCATAAAGTATTTGATATGGATAATTGCCCCCGAGAAAATATCACCGTGCGCTGCTGAAGGACTGCCTTTTTTAGGTGTAATCAGTTCATTTATTTTCGTTTCAGCGCTGGCCGCGATATGCAGGCTATCGCTTTCTACGCGCCTGTCACCGTTGATGGATTAATGCAGAGAAACCACGATATGGAAAACGCTGCCGCCGACTCCCGCTCTTCTCTCGCCAAAGCCTGCGGTTTCCTTACCCAGCCCACACCTTTCACATCTCGCTAAAAATTATTATTTTTTTGTTAATTTAAGTCTATAGATTCTTTCGAACGGCCATCGCAAACGCGAGCTATGGAGAGGAGCCGCAAAACCTGAGAACACTGTACTTCGGGAGGCGTCGTTTCTTTTACAGTCCAGAGTTTGTTTTATGGTCAGGCTGTGCCCCATTTATCCTCCAACCGTAAACGTGGCAGCCGGAAAACGTCATTTCAACTGCCCAGGATTAATCGTGAAGGAAAATGAGCAATAACAAATTTTAAAAATCATAAAAGCGTATATTTTCTCATGCTTATGTAAGACAATTCCCTTTCACATTTATTTTTACGTATAATGAATCATAAATGAAATATATACTAATGCGATTTTTCCGTTGTACTCATATTGTGAAATGACTGTGATTTTATATTATTGTCACATTTCAATGATAATGAAGTTTTAATTAAGTCGTGATTGTGTGTGTTGGTGTGCGAGGATCTGCATGGAAGGATGTGCCAGTGGGCATCTTCATCCTCCAGTGCTGCCACCCACCGACCCATCCATCTGTCCATCCATCCATCTATCCATCCATCCATCTATCCATCCATCCATCCATCCATCCATCTATCCATCCATCCATCCATCCACACATCTTCTAACCACCTATCCTTGTTGAAGTTGCAGACGGGCCTGGAGCCTATCCCAGGCAGCACAGGGCACGAGGCTGGGGTCACCCAGGCTAGGATGCCAGTCCATGACAGGGCACATGCACTCGTACACCAACACACACAATCACACTCTAGGGGCAATTTAGAGATATCAGTTGGCCTATAGCACCAGGAGGAAACCCACGCGACACAATGAGAACATCCAAACTCCCTGTACAGAAAGCTGCAGCGGAAATCAAACCCCCACACCTGCAGGAGTGAAGCAGTAGTGCTGCCCACGGATCCACTTCCAGTGCTCCCAGTTTGCGGAATATGTGTGCCAGGGCGGCTTTCATTCTTCGGGGCATGCTCTTTCCACCTGGCACGTCTTGGCGCGGGCTGTACCTTCTTCTTCTTACCTTTTTTGGGAGGTGTTGATGCCGCTGAGAGATAAGCCCGACACTGGTTTGACTCGCATACAGTGTTCCCAGGAATCGGAGTCAACGTGGGCGACAGCAGCAATTATCTTAAGCAAATATCTCCATCCATGCTTCAGTTCATTCACTGTGATCTTATATACCCGGGGAAAATTTCCTTTGGAAAATGAAAACTTACACTGGAAATTCAAAGCTTCAATTCAACTAATAAGCAATGTATTTCCTTTTTTACAGTGTTCACACACACACAAGCACACACATTTGTATTATCTTTGTGGGGACCATCCTGTCATATTTATGGGCAAAACCCTAATCCCAACAATGACAACCGTAACCCCTACCCAGCCCTAACCTTAACCATAAGTAACCAAACAAAATAGAAGACCTTTCTTTTTTTAATGGTTTTTGGGGACATTTTGATCCCCAAATGTGATCTATGCAAACACACACACACCTGTCAATCACTGAAATGAAAGGCGTTTATGGTTGTTTCGCTTCATTTCATCCAAAGGTGTCCCTTTATAAATTAAAAATAATACATTATCCAAGAGACACAAGTGTCACCAGGGATGTCATTTTGCATCCACACTGTGCAGCATTACACTCAAACATAAGAGTGCATCAAAGGTTACAATAAAACCATAAGCATGTTCTGAAGGGCTGGCCCTCAGCGATGAACCAAACTGTATGTCATTCAAAACATTTTGGCTGCTGTGCAATAAAAGGAATTTTCTCCAGTCTGGCAGAAACAAATGAAAACAAATACGTGACCTGCGGAGAAACACCTCAGATCAATCAAAAGCGATTCTTCAATTTGTTAAAATAAAACAAAAACAAAAATATACTATGTGTCACGGGGGGAGATGATTAATGATATGGCAAATTAGCTTTAATACCTAAATTAACATCTGGGGCTCAGGCTTCTCCCATCAGCATGCTATTTCCTGTTATGCTTATATTGTATTGATTTTGCAGTGCAAACAGACCATGTGACTCAACTTAAATAATTACAAGTTAACCAACTGCAGTTACTCTAAGAAATAGAGACATCAGACAAACTTTGTTCTGTAAAAAACGAGGAAGTTAGCAGGGAGTTTTATTCAGGTGAGGGAGCAGTTTGTGTTACTTAATATTGTTGAGAACGGTACTGTAACGATTTAGTCCAAATTCTATTCAAATTATCATCACTAGCATGGAACTGCAGTCGCACAGATCCACATCACTAACTCATGCATTAGTTGTTTTTTGAAGGGATGGTACTTATGTGGGGCACCATGGTGGTGCAGTGGTCAGCACAGCTGGGACCAGTGTTCAAGTCTCCGTGTCCCTGGGTGGAATTCACACATTCTCTCCATATTGTTGTGGTGTTTCCTCTGGGTTCTCCAGGTTTTCCACCCCCAATCCAAAAATATGTTAACGTAATTTGAAGATGCCAAACTGGCTGCCAGTGTGAATAGTGAGTGTGCCTTGCACTGGGTTGTTTAAGCCCTACCTTGTACCCATAGCTTCTGGCATAGGCTCCAGACCCTACACAGGACAAGCAGGTGGGTGATATTTGTGTCCTGCATTCTGGTCAATTGAATGAGTCCTGTCTGCCCAATATACCACTTTATTTAAGAAAACAAAATTAAAATGACGGCATATTCATTAAGTTGAAACTTGGTGATCTCCCAATCCCATCTCTTAAATCATAAGGTAGGAGATGCTGCTGTTTTTATGTGTCTGTTGCTCTCTTGCACATCTCCTTGTGTTAATTTGCTTCTAGACAACAGAAGCCAAAAATCACTTTAGCACCTCTGAAGTAGTATGTAAGAAGGTCTACAGACCCGCCCCCCCCCCAATCAGAAACATTCTTCAGGATTTATAAAATAAATACTGGATGCCCATTGATCCATGTTACGTTGCCAAGACTTCCAGAGCCCAGGAGAGGTGCATCTCTGAGGGTCACGTGGCATAGATAGGTAAGTGAACCGAAGTAATTGATTCTGACAAAGTAATCTAACCAAAACAACGTAATTGGGCTTAGTAGAATTTGTCAAATCAGCTAAGTGGTCGCGGAAGCATTTTGAATTAGCTCCTGTCTATCTTATCGCTTATGACAGAAGAACCGGGCCATAGCTACAGAGCAGGGAAGAGTGTATATAGCACAGCACTATATTCTTTTCTGTCTGATTTCCAGTTGCTTCTACTGTCATATGGAATAGCTTAGTCAGTTGTTTCCTCCTACTTTGAGAACAGAGGTCCTTAAACGTTTCCATATTTTAGCAAAAGTATATCAGGTGTGTAAAATAACCTTAAAGGCAATTAGAGGTACACATTTAGCTATAGATTTTGTTATATTTATTGCGACTTTGTTTAGACTGACTTGATTCCTTTTCAATCCAAATTGAAGGTTCTCTGGGGAAAAAAAAAAACCAGGTTTTTGCCCTTCAGGCTGAAGAGTGGCAGCGATGTGTCACAAGGGCTGTTTGGCCATGCGAGTCAGGGACAAGCTTGCGTGCAGTTAACTGAGGAGGATGGGAGAGCTTTGCAAGGATCGAGGTGAGGGGAGCAGCCGCGCAAAGACGACGCAGATCACATCAGCTCACACATGCCGGCATCTG